GAACACTTCAACTCTGGAGGTCCCAAGGTGGTAATAGCAGTGATGTATAACCCACCACAGAACAGCAGGAGGCCAAGGCAAGAGTACGACGAGAGCAATAGAGCGATGGTTGACACACTGGCTAGAGTGGCCAGAAGAGCTCATGCATGCAGGGCAAAGCTCCTGATCATGGGTGACTTTAACCACAAGGAGATCGATTGGGAGAACTTGGACCCACATGGGGGCCAAGATACATGGAGGGCTAAGATGATGGAGGTGGTACTGGAGAACTTCATGTACCAACACGTAAGGGACACTACAGAGAGAGAGGAGAGGATGAACCAGCAAGGCTGGACTTAGTATTCACCTTCAGTAGTGCAGATATCGAGGACATCACATATGAAAGACCCTTGGGGCCAGTGACCATGTGGTTTTAAGCTTCGAATACACAGTAGAGCTACAAGTGGAGGAGAAGCAGGAAGGCCAGGACGAATGAAGCCAAACTACAAGAAAGGGGAATACACAGGAATGAGGAACTACCTGAATGGGGTTCAGTGGGACAGAGAACTGGCAGGGAAGCCAGTTAATGAGATGATGGAATATGTAGCAACAAAATGCAAGGAGGCTGAGGAGAGGTTTGTACCCAAGGGTAACAGGAGTAATGAAAAAGCCAGGATGAGCCCATGGTTTACCCAAAGGTGCAGGGAGGCAAAAACCAAGTGTGCTAGGGAATGGAAGAATATAGAAGGCAAAGGACCCAGGAGAATAAGGAGAACAGTCGTAGAGCCAGAAACGAATATGCACAGATAAGAAGGGAGGCCCAAAGACAATATGAAAATGACATAGCAGCAAAAGCCAAATCTGACCCGAAACTGTTGTACAGCCACATCAGGAGGAAAACAACAGTCAAGGACCAGGTAATCAGGCTAAGGAAGGAAGGAGGAGAGACAACAGGAAATGACCGTGAAGTATGTGAAGAACTCAACAAGAGATCAAAGAAGTGTTCACAGAGGAGACAGAAGGGACTCCAGAAAGACGGAGAGGTGGGGCACACCACCAAGTGCTGGACACAGTGCACACAACCGAGGAAGAAGTGAAGAGGCTTCTGAGTGAGCTAGATACCTCAAAGGCAATGGGGCCAGATAACATCTCCCCATGGGTATTGAGAGAGGGAGCAGAGGCACTATGTGTACCCCTAACAACAATATTCAATACATCTATCGAAACAGGGAGATTGCCTGAGGCATGGAAGACAGCAAATGTAGTCCCAATCTTTAAAAAAGGAGACAGACATGAAGCATTAAACTACAGACCAGTGTCACTGACATGTATAGTATGCAAAATCATGGAGAAGATTATCAGGAGAAGAGTGGTGGAACACCTAGAAAGGAATGATCTCATCAACAGCAGCCAGCATGGTTTCAGGGATGGGAAATCCTGTGTCACAAACCTACTGGAGTTCTATGACATGGTGACAGCAGTAAGACAAGAGAGAGAGGGGTGGGTGGATTGCATTTTCTTGGACTGCAAGAAGGCGTTTGACACAGTTCCACACAAGAGATTGGTGCAAAAACTGGAGGACCAAGCAGGGATAACAGGGAAGGCACTACAATGGATCAGGGAATACTTGTCAGGAAGACAGCAGCGAGTCATGGTACGTGGCGAGGTGTCAGAGTGGGCACCTGTGACAGCGGGGTCCCGCAGGGGTCAGTCCTAGGACCAGTGCTGTTTCTGGTATTTGTGAACGACATGACGGAAGGAATAGACTCTGAGGTGTCCCTGTTTGCAGATGACGTGAAGTTGATGAGAAGAATACACTCGATCGAAGACCAGGCAGAACTACAAAGGGATCTGGACAGGCTGCAGACCTGGTCCAGCAATTGGCTCCTGGAGTTCAATCCCACCAAGTGCAAAGTCATGAAGATTGGGGAAGGGCAAAGAAGGCCGCAGACGGAGTACAGTCTAGGGGGTCAGAGACTACAAACCTCACTCAAGGAAAAGATCTTGGGGTGAGTATAACACCAGGCACATCTCCTGAAGCGCACATCAACCAAATAACTGCTGCAGCATATGGGCGCCTAGCAACCTCAGAACAGCATTCCGACATCTTAATAAGGAATCGTTCAGGACCCTGTACACCGTATACGTTAGGCCCATATTGGAGTATAGCGGCACCAGTTTGGAACCCACACCTAGCCAAGCACGTAAAGAAACTAGAGAAAGTGCAAAGGTTTGCAACAAGACTAGTCCCAGAGCTAAGAGGTATGTCCTACGAGGAGAGGTTAAGGGAAATCAACCTGACAACACTGGAGGACAGGAGAGATAGGGGGGACATGATAACGACATACAAAATACTGAGAGGAATTGACAAGGTGGACAAAGACAGGATGTTCCAGAGATTGGACACAGTAACAAGGGGACACAGTTGGAAGCTGAAGACACAGATGAATCACAGGGATGTTAGGAAGTATTTCTTCAGCCACAGAGTAGTTAGTAAGTGGAATAGTTTGGGAAGCGATGTAGTGGAGGCAGGATCCATACATAGCTTTAAGCAGAGGTATGATAAAGCTCACGGCTCAGGGAGAGTGACCTAGTAGCGATCAGTGAAGAGGCGGGGCCAGGAGCTCGGACTCGACCCCCGCAACCTCAACTAGGTGAGTACAACTAGGTGAGTACACACACACACACACACACACACACACACACACACACACACCACACACACACACACACACACACACACACACACACACACACACACACACACACACGGAGTACAGTCTAGGGGGTCAGAGACTACAAACCTCACTCAAGGAAAAAGATCTTGGGGTGAGTATAACACCAGGCACATCTCCTGAAGCGCACATCAACCAAATAACTGCTGCAGCATATGGGCGCCTAGCAAACCTCAGAACAGCATTCCGACATCTTAATAAGGAATCATTCAGGACCCTGTACACCGTGTACGTTAGGCCCATATTGGAGTATGCGGCACCAGTTTGGAACCCACACCTAGCCAAGCACGTGAAGAAACTAGAGAAAGTGCAAAGGTTTGCAACAAGACTAGTCCCAGAGCTAAGAGGTATGTCCTACGAGGAGAGGTTAAGGGAAATCAACCTGACGACACTGGAGGACAGGAGAGATAGGGGGGACATGATAACGAATACAAAATACTGAGAGGAATTGACAAGGTGGACAAAGACAGGATGTTCCAGAGATTGGACACAGTAATAAGGGGACACAGTTGGAAGCTGAAGACACAGATGAATCACAGGGATGTTAGGAAGTATTTCTTCAGCCACAGAGTATCAGTAAGTGAATATTTTGGGGAAGCGATGTAGTGGGGGCAGGCCTACATAGCTTTAAGCAAGGTATGATAAACTACGGCTCGGGATGCCCTGTAGCGATCAGGGAAGGGCGGGCCAGGAGCTCGGACTCGCCCCCCGCAACCCCAACTGGGTGAGTCACAACACCACACACCACCACACACACACAAACAAACACAAATCATCAACCGCACCAACAAAATGGGCAAGGTCTATCGACAAGTGCCTTCGAAAATTTGTAACTGCTACTAACGTTCATGTACACAGCCCATCATGGGGTTTTTAAGATTCATCTGGCACCAGGGCCAGCGCACCAGTTACGACTTACAACAATGAATGATGGTTCTATTACTCCTTCCCCCACGGGGAAACCAAACAACGTTAAAAGGGGTGCCACAGTGCAACACTTGTGGATTTTTCCCACGACAATCCGTTGGTGAGAAAACCCTGGACAAATAAGGGTGGGAGAGGGAAAATTTTTGTGGGGAGTGAGGGGGAAAGATAGGAAGACGGAGAGGACAATAAAAAAATATTAAAAATTATTTAAAATAATAATAATAAAAATTTTAAAAAAAATTCTTTATTTTACAAGAAACATGTACAAGGATACGGGTCTGTACATCAATGACTACTACTTTTTGGGAAAGTCCCTTTTTTATGCAGAGCATTTTCGGGCAAATTGGGTCGTTTTGTCCCAGGATGCGCCCCACACCAGTCGACTAACCCCCCAGGTACCTATTTAATGATGGGTGAACTTAGACAACCCGGGTACGGAAACACGTCCATGTTTCCCCCCTTTCGCCGGGAATCGAACCGGGACACCCCCCGTGGAAAAAGAGCTTTTTTCCACAGGCAAAAAGATAATAAAGATAACAGGAAAAAAGATAAAAAAGGAAAATGACAAACTGGGTTGTGCTTATTTAAATTTGGTAAGGGACACGTAAGTACCTTATCATCCTAGTGAAAACAGAAGTCAAAGGGAGAATACTGTGATTTGGGGAAAAGAGGGAAACGGGTGTTTAACCCTAATTTTTTTACGGAGTGGGCGGTAAGCCACGGAAGGGCCCCGGGCAATGACCCCGAAAACTCCAAGGCTATATCTATCTAAAACCCGCATCAGGAAACACTTGTCCCGTTTCCCGCGAACCTTACTTAACCCGTGGTGTTAGGGGGTGGGAAGACTAAGGAGGGGAGGGATGGTGGCTGGTGGGGTGGAAAAGGGGGGGGTCGTGAGGTGGGAGTGGAGATGCGACATAAGGTACCATTATCAGCAACACCATCATCTGGTTCACTCACACTTCATTCTCAGAGAGCGCCATGTTTACACTCTGGTAAGTTCACTCTCAGAGAGCTGATTAATGTGTTTATGATTCATTACCTTTGCAATTATTCATGAGTGTGACCAGCTCTACCTGGAGCTCATTACCTTTGTAACTTGGTCATGATTATGACCAGATCTAGTTCATTACCTTTGTAACTTGCTCAGCTATCAAAACTTTGGAGTCCAGTCCCTGGACCAATTATGTACCTCTGTAATCTTTTGACTACCGCCCACAGGATGGGTATGGGGTGCATAATAAACATATTAAACTAAACTCAGAGAGCGCCATGTTTACACTCTGGTAAGTTCATTCTCAGAGAGCGCCATGTTTACACTCTGGTAAGTTCACTCTCAGAGAGGCGCCATGTTTAACACTCTGGTAAGTTCACTCTCAGAGAGCGCCATGTTTACACTCTGGTAAGTTCACTCTCAGAGAGCGCCATGTTTACACTCTGGTAAGTTCACTCTCAAAGTTACCACTAACATACAATGTTGCTGTTTTGCATTTCTTTTTCTTGTTGTTTTGTCAGAAAAAGTCGAGCGCTTGTTTCTGTATGCAATACTTCCTTGAAAATCAGTCAGGGAAAGTAATATATTTCACGGATTTTTATCATATTAATGATGGCTTAAAATGCCGACACATGTGCAACACTTAGATATTTTTATAGGACACATGTGCAACACCTGGATATCTCTATAAAACACATGTGCAACACCTGGATATCTTGTCGAAAAGTTTCGGCTTTACAACAGAATTATTCAGTGGAACACACGTCCCGTAGCTCACTTGGTAGCGCACTCACCTCGCACATTGAGGTCAGTGGTTCGATTCCTGGTATAGGTGAAAATTTTGAGCATGTTTCCTTGAGACATCGGCTGTCCCTGTGCAGCAAGTAAGGTACCTGGGTGTTAGCCGACCGGTGTGGGTCGCATACCAGGGGCAAAATTAACCTTAATTGCCAGAATTTTTCTGCATAACCTAGGGTTTTCTATATAGTATGTCACAGATGTCAGCTATGGTCTGTATAAGTTGTATCGTCTAGAAATAAAGATTATTATTGTAATACTTTTTGTGAGGTGATTAGTCCCTCAGTCTTGGTAGGAGGAGGTCAGTCCTTCAGGCCTAAGGCATAGCCATGCAGCCAGGCCTTACGCACTAGAATAGAAGTGAGGTGAAAGCAGCTGGAGGTGTTATCACAGTGAGCGTGTCCCACTAAAGGAAGCAGGTTATGTTAAACGACTGTACCCAGACACCCTGGTGTTGCTGTGTCACGCAACAGCATATTAATGACGGTATACAATACCAGGCGAAATGTATCGCCAGTTAAGATACCAGGTTTTTGGCCATTTTGTCTTATAAACAAAAAAAAAGGGTGTTGCACATGGGGCTTAAAAAGTTTACCCAGGTGTTGACATGTGTCTTATAAAGAACCCAGGTGTTGCCACACGTTCTTAAATTTTACCCAGGTGTTGCACGTGTGTTTTAAAAAGTTCCCCCAGGTTTTAAACCCCATGTGTCTTAAAGGGTTCCCAAGGTGTTCCCAACATGTGTCTTATAAAAAATTCCCGGTGTTGCCTTGTGTCTTTTAATTTCCCCAGGCTTTGCCCCATGTGTCTTTTAAAAGTTTCCCAGGTGTTGCACATGGTCTTACAAAAGATTCCCAGGTGTTGCACATGTGTCTTATAATTTTACCCAGCCTTGAACAGGTGTCTTTAAAAGTTTTCCAGGGTTGAACATGTGTTTATAAGTTACCCAGGCTTTTCCCACATGTTTTCTTAAAAAAGTTTTCCGGTGTTGACATGTGTCTTAGGGAAGTTTCCCAGGTGTTCACATGTGTTTTTAAAAAGGATTCCCAGGTGTTTGCACATGTGTCTTTTTAAGTTACCCAGGTTTTGCACATGTGTCTTATAAAGAAAACCCAGGTGTTGCACACGTGTTTTATTAATTTAAACCCAGGTGTTGACATTATTATTCATTTTAGCAAGCCAAAAAAACCTAACGTAAAAATTGCTTTTTTCTTTTAAGGAAATCCCCAGTTTGTTCAGCCTCCCTTGGCTTTTTTGTTAGCCTACCTAGGCATTTTGTTCCCCCTTTCCAAGACGGGTTTTTTCCCGGGCCTACCTATGGCAGTTTGTTCACCCTACCTATGGCGTTTGTTCGGGCCTACCTATGGCATTTTGTTCAACCTACCTTGGATTTTTGTTAAACCCTCCCTTTTGGGCAGTTTTTTTAAAAATTTCCTTTGGCGGGTTTGTTCAACCTAATTTTTGGCAGTTTTTTCCCCCCCTTTTTTTTTTTAAACCTTTTGGGCAGTTTGTTAAAATTTCCCTTTTGGCCCAGTTTGTTAAAACCTCCCTTTGGCAGTTTTTTTAAAACCTCCCTTTGGCAGTTTTTTTCAACCTCCCTAGGGAAATTTTGTTTGCCCTTTTCTATAGCTTTGGGGCACAGTACCCGGGAAAAAAAGTGTCACGACGAGTTTACTCAGAGGGCCTGGCTTGAGGTGGGTGTAGGTGAAAGGGGGAACTTTCACAGGTGAGGCCCAAAAATCTGCTGTGTTCAAAACGAAGAAAACCTCACTTTCTATATATTTTAAAAACCCTTTGTCTCAAACGTCCAAATATTATATAGCATATTTGAAGGTCATGTCCATAATCTGTTAGCAATCAAACCTGGGGGTATTTGGGGGGTCAACCCCCCCCGCAGCTGGTCCACGCCAGGCCCCCCAAAAATAGTTTATAAAATGAGAGACTAAAAAAGGGGTTTATAGTTTAAACCCGGGGGTTCTTTTTTCTTTTTAGTTTACAAAACCCCCAGTGGATTTCCCCAATTTTGTCGCCATACCCCTTTCACCAGACTGTGGAATTTAAACCCACCACCATCCTCAGTAAAATTAGGTACCAGTGTGACTTTAAAAAATTACAGTAAGGGGGTTTTTTTTTTTACATTGTGAAAAGCTACTTAAAAGAACATCTGAAAGAAAAAATAAGAGTTTTATTTTTTTAGTCCGGGGAACGGGGTTAAGCCTCCATTATTTGGTTTCCCCTACCCACAAGGGGGGATGGGGTTTCCCCGGTTAAGAATCCTTTCTTTAAAAAACCCAAAAATTTTGAATTTTAAAAAAAAAAAAACCCCGGTTTTTGGATAATGAGAACTTTCAAAACGAGAGAAAGCCAAAACCCTGATGATCCTTTTTTTAAAACACCTTTTTTCTTTTCTAGGCTGGAATAATGCCCGTACATTTTCCCCTTTCCCTTCCCAAAACAGGTGAAAAACGAAAATCTAGAGGAAATTTTACAGAGATCCCTTTTCTGCACGTTTAAGGGTTTTGTCAAAAACCTTAAAATTTTGGGAACGCTTGGAAGCACTTGACTTTTACTCGTTTGGGAAAGCAGGAAAGGGGGAGATAATCATAATCTAAATTGGAAAAAATTTTGGAAAGGGAAAGGTCCCAAATTGCACACAGAAATCACTCCCCACGAAAGTAAAAGACTGGGCAGGGGGATTTCAAAAAGCCGCCAATAAAAAGAGGGGGGGGCCATTGGTACACTAAAAGAAAAACACCATAAGTGTCCGGGGGGCCCCAAAAAAAGGGTTTAACAGGGCCCCCCATCAAGCATTAGGGGGGGAAATTTTTAAAAACCCCTGGCTGCCTTCAAAAAAAAGAGCTGGAAAGATACCTAAGTCGGTGCCGGTTTTTCCGGGCTGTGGCTCGTACGTCGGACTGGTGCGGCCAGCAGAAACCCAGCCTAGTTGATCAGGCCCTGATCCATCGGGGGCCTGGTCATGGCCCGGGCCCCGCGGGGGCGTGATCCCGGAATAACCTCCAGGAAACCCTCCAGGTTGGGTGAGGTTAGGACCCATGGAAGGTGAGTCGTACAATTCTAGGCCAGTTCGAAAGCCAGTTGGCCAACTGGCTTACGAACTGGCCTGGAGTTTTATGACCCCAACTCTCCATGGATTCAGACCCAACCCGTCCATGGTTTGTTTACAGTCGTGTTACTACGTTATCGTGAGTTATATATGATTGTTCATTTGCTTAAAGTGTAAGTTTTGCTCTGCATGGCGAGTGATTGTATGGTAGGTTAATGAATAACACTTTGGTCAAAGCCAGACCATCGATGAACCAGATTTTAAATCTGACTACGTTTCGCCCTCAACACTGAGAGAAACGCTGTCATAACAAATAATTGGTCTGTATCTCATTTCACTTTACCATACTTGCCAGCACTGTCTGCCAACCAGACCGATGACTGACAGTGTTGGGGACTAATTACTGACACTTGCAGGTTGGTGGTGGTGGTGGTGGTGGTGAGTGGTGCTCGGGGCTACGACACACCCTCGTGCGACGGTCGACAAACGATCGTTGAGCTTTTCGAATGGAAATGGACAGACGTGGCCGAGGAGTGCGAGAGGTTCCTGGGGGACGCCGGGTACTGCGCCGTCCAGGTCAGTCGGGGTCATTCAGAGCCTCCATGCGGTCATTCCAGGTCAGTTGGGATGAATGTAGATGTTGCCCTTATGTTCAATTGTCGCATCTTGCGTCATTGTGTTATTGGAATGCGATAAATTTAATGAATTCGGAGACAACTTACTCAGAAATTTCAAGAAATGTCAGTGTTTCATCCACAGTGATATATTACCAACTATTTTGGAAAAATACCTTGACTTTGCCGATTGTAAATAACACATAACCACCCAAATTTTATTTTTACAAGTATACCTTGCTAAAATATAACGTAAAAATTTTTGTGATATATTTATGACCTAATTCACGTCTGCATAAATAACTTATTAAGATTGTACCAGTTTATAACATGCGACTAGTTCATTACCGCAGAGGTACATAATGGGTCCAATCCTGGATCCATTATGTACCTCTGTAATCTTCTGACTGCCACCCACACCATGGGTATAGTGTGCTTAATAAAGATTTTAAAGTGACTAACTTTCAGCGGTTCTCTGGTTCTGTCGGGGTTTTGGGGATTCTTTATAGTATATTTTAACCTGAGTTGATTACACGAGCTGAGGGTTTTGTAATTTCTGCAATTATTACTTGGGAATTTATTGAATAAATTTGCACATGGTGGAAGGATTGGTAAAAGACAGGCCGGAAGGAAGGAGAGAAGGAAATCAGGAAAAAAGGGTGGTAAATAAGGAAGAAATTAATGGAAGCAAAGCAGGAGGGAACGAACGCGCTGGGGTTAGAACAAAAGGAACTGCTGAAGAAAGATGTCTTTATTTCGAGTACTTTAATAAAACAAACAACAGATACATTGATGACTAAGGTGTGTCCACTAACACAGGTCTCACCAGCAGCGGAACATACAGTGATCGCAGAGAACGGGTACCCATGGTGGCAGCGATCCCAACCAGTTTCATACCACGGGAGTCCCGCTCAGCACAGCCATGAGTTCATGACATGGTGCAGCGTTTGTAATTGCTGTGGATTTGGGGTTTGAGCAAGAGGAAACAAGAAGGGATTCCTGACTGCGTCAGAGAGGGTGTGACAGGGGGGGTTATTTTAAAACAGATAGGGAGACAAGGAGGGCATTACAGGAAGAGTGTGACAGGGAGACATAAAGGACTACGATATGGGGAAAACTGTGAGATGAAGCCACAGAAAACTGTGATAGAATATTAGGGAGAACCGTGGTAAAGATAAACTCTCATAGCAGCACTATCTTTATGTCTTTATTTATTTACTACAAGTACATGTACAAGGTATACAGTCCTAGCTGACATAAGTGACATACTACTATATACAAAGCCGCTTGATATGCTGAGTATTTCGGGCAATTTAGGTCAGTGTCCCAGGATGCGACCCACACCAGTCGACTAACACCCAGGTACCCATTTTACTGATGGGGAGCATAGACAACCGGTGTATAGAAACACGCCCAATATTTCTACTCTGGCTGGGAATCGAACCCAGGCCCTCGCCGTGTGAAGCGAGAGCGTTAGCCACCAGAGTTTTAAGTTGGAAAAATTCTGATTCAGGAAGGATATAGGAAAGCACTGGTTTAGTAACAGAGTTGTAGATGAGTGGAACAAACTCCCGAGTAAGACATTGTGTAGTTTTAAAAATAGGTTAGATAAATACATGAGTGGGTGTGAGCTGGACCTAACTAGTTTTTGCTAATAGGTCTGATGCCGTGCCCCTTCCTTAAGTATATGTGACCTGACCTGATTAGGTGGGTCATTAGTCTAAGCCGGGAGGTTACTTGGACCTGCCTCGCATGGGCCAGTAGGCCTTCTGCAGTATTCCTTCTTTCTTATGTTCTTATAGAGTATGTGCTAATACTCACCACAGAAAACCACCCATAAGATCATTATGTTTTCTGCCTCACAGTTCATGGAGATAATAATTATAAGTAGAAAGTTTTAAATGATTCTCTAGGTAACTGTTTCTTGAAAATACAGGTTTTTTGGTTTATGTGAGTCTGGGAGTGTATTTTATGATGAGTGTTGACCTGGCAGGGTCATCGTGGACGTGGTGGTCAACCACATGGCGGAGTTGGGAAGGTCAGGTTACGGTTCCGGCGGCACGACCTTCAATGCTGACCAACTTGACTTCCCTGGTGTACCTTACACCAGCGTCGACTTCACCCCTCAAGACCTGTGTCCCTCTGCTGATGGTAGGTTCCCTTCACCATCACTTCTACCCTTCACCATCACTTCTACCCTTCACCATCACCCCTACCCTTCACCATCACTTGTACCCTTCATCATCACTTCTACCCTTCACCATCACCCCTACCCTTCACCATCACTTCTACCCTTCACCATCTCTTCTACCTTTCACCATCATATGTATGTATGGCTGTTTTGCATAATCTGATATCACCTGTTTTACTGTGATCTCATTGCATTATATTTTTTATATATATATATATATATTTATATATATTATAATATATATATATTATATATATATTTATAATTATATATATATAGATTTATATATATAGATATATATATATTAAATATATATATATATATATATATATATATATTTATATAAAAATTTTTATATATATATTATATATATATATGTCGTGCCGAATAGGCAGAAATTGCCATCTTGGCTTAAATAGCAACGTTCATCTTGCCATATAGAACAAGTGAAAATTTGTGTATGCAAGAATTTCGCCAAAAACATTCTGAGCCTAACGAAAAAATATATTTCACTTTGTTTGTTTAGTATTAAATTATTGTAAACAAATCTAAAATATATTTAGTTGGATTAGGCTAAAATAAATTTTTCTTGTTATAATAAGGTTAGGTAAGTTTTCTAAGTTCCTTTTGGTGCAAAATTAAAAAATTTTACATTAACATTAATGAAAAAAATATATTTTTTAAACGTATAAGAGAAATTTTAGAAAGGACTTATTTTAAAAGAGTTCTTGCTAATTTACCAGTTTTACATATTCGGCACGATATATATATATTATATATATATATATAATATATATATAATTTTATTATATATTATATATATATATATATATATATATATATATATATATATATTATTTTATATATATATAATAATAATATGGTGGGTCCACCTCTGGTGTAAATTGTGGGACCCACAGCCTCGGAGAAGTGAATAAAAAGGCTTCAAGGAAGAATATTTGGATTTCTTCCTGAAGCCGTTTGAATATTCCACTTCCCCTACCACCCCATCTTTTCATATATTTTTTTTTTTATTCAATAGGAATATTTTATTACATAATATGGTACAGAAGATTTAAGAGATACATTGTTGATATAAAGGTGGCATATACGGTACATGTTGTTACGTGTGTATCACCGATTACAAGGCGAAAATCTCATCCAGCTCCTCAGAGCTGGGGCGTGTTCCCAAATACAGCAGGAAATTACCCCTTTGAACAGCCGCACTGAGCCGCTGGAACAGAAAACTAGCTGCCCTGGGATCCCTAGTTACCCTGATGAGTCTTTTTCCCAGCTCCTTAAGGAATTTAGATGCACTCTTTCCCCATATATATATATATATATATATATATATATAATATATATTTTATATATATATATATATATATAAAATATATATATATATATATATATATATATATATATATATATATATATATATATATATATAATATATAATTTTAAAACATAGGTGTTACGCTGTTTCAATAAGTTGGCGCTGGTTTTGCAGGTATTGTAGGCAACAACAGTGATGTGTATGAGGTGAGGAACTGCTACCTGTTGGGCCTCACTGACCTCTACACCTCCAGTTACCACGTCAGGGAACAGCTGGCTCACTACCTCAACCTCCTCCTAGACATCGGAGTCATGGGCTTCAGGGTGGAGGCCGCTAAGTATGTCTGGCCTGAGGTGAGTTGACTGATGGAGGCAGCCGGTGCCTGGTTTATAGTAGACCTGGACACTCATGTTAGGACGCAGCAGGAACCTGGAGTGAGATAGGCATCAGAAACAATATAATATTAACCATCTTCAACACGACAATAATGTCTGAATCAGGTCAAGCAAGTTGGTCCATATAAGTGGTTCGGTCAAAATCTGTTGTAAAAAGCAGTCCAAGACTGCCTAGAAAGTTGCACTCTATCCCTTGCACCATACACAGCTATATTTCTAACTTCTAGCGCTGCCACCCCAGCCATTGAAAGAGTAGAAACATGGATTCGTCTCCTGCAATACATGTTATCCATATAATTTATCTCTATTCTCAATAAATTAATTAACTGTTATTTCACTATGTGTCCAGTAATTGTCCGAGGTATTCATTCAGTGTCTGTTATTCTTGACAAACTGCTACAAAAGACAGGGATCCCTGTCTTTTATATGATTAAATCTATAGTTGTTCTGTGCTTGACAAGTGAGGCTTTTTCCTTACACTTCCCAGAAGGCACCAAGAATTGACAATTTATCAAAGCCAAAACTCTCACCGCTTGCCACAGTATGTAAACAGAGGTGTGTGTGTGTGTGTGTGTGTGTGTGTGTGTGTGTGTGTGTGTGTGTGTGTGTGTGTGTGTGTGTGTGTGTGTGTGTGTGTGTGTGTGTGTCTGGTGCGTGTGTGTGTGTGTGTGTGTGTGTACTCACCTATTTGTGGTTACAAGGGTCGATTCATAGCTCCTGGCCCCGCCTCTTCACTGATTGCTACTGGGTCCTCTCTCTCCCTGCTCCATGAGCTTTATCATACCTCGCCTTAAAACTATGTATGGTTCCCGCCTCCACTACGTCACTTTCTAGGCTATTCCACTGCCTGACTACTCTATGACTGAAGAAATACTTCCTAACATCCCTTTGACTCCTCTGAATCTTCAACTTCCAATTGTGACCCCTTGTTTCTGTGTCCCATATCTGGAATATCCTGTCTTTGTCCACCTTGTCTATTCCGCGCAGTATTTTTATATGTCGTTATCATGTCTCCCCTGACCCTCCTGTCCTCCAGTGTCGTCAGGCCGAATTTCCCTTAACCTTTCCTCGTAGGACAGTTCCCTTAGCTCTTGTTGCAAACCTTTGCACTTTCTCTAATTTCTTGACGTGCTTGACCAGGTGTGGATTCCAAACTGGTGCTACACACTCCAATATGATCCCTGACGTATATGGTGTACAGAGTCTTGAACGATTCCTTACTGATTTATCGGAACGCTATCCTTAGGTTTGCCAGACGCCCGTGCGCTGCAGCAGTTATCTGATTGATGTGCGCCTCAGGAGATGTGCTCGTAAATTCTTGGGTAGCTTTGGGTAGGGGTCGTTTTGATGAGGACCTGCCTTGTATGGGCCAGTAGGCCTTCTGCAGTGTTCCTCCATTCTTATGTTCTTATGTATTATACTCACCCCAAGATCTTTTTCCTTGAGTGAGGTTTGCGGTCTTTGCCCACCTAGACTACTCTGTGTCTGCGGTCTTCTTTGCCCTTCCCCAATCTTCATGACTTTGCATTTGGCAGGGTTAAACTCAAGGAGCCAGTTGCTGAACCAGGCTTGTAGCCTGTCCAGGTCTTCTTTGTAGCCCTTTGCCTGATCCTTGGCCGATTTGATTCTCCTCAATTAACTTCACATCATCTGCAAACAAAGGACACTTTGAGTCTATCCCTTCCGTTATGTCATTCACGTATACCAAAAACAGCACGGGACGTAGGGACTGACCCCTGTGGAACCCCGCTTGTCACAGGCGCCCCTCTGACACTTCGTCACGTACCATGACTCGTTGTTGCCTCCCGTCAGGTATTCTCTGATCCATTGCAGTGCCTTTCCTGTTATGTGTGCCTGATCCTCCAGCTTTTGCATTAACCTCTTGTGAGGAACTGTGCAAAGGCCTTCTTGCAGTCCAAGGGAAATGCAGTCTATTCCACCCCTCTCTCTCTCTTGTCTTACTTCTGTCTTAACTTCTGTCATAAAACTCCTAAAGGGTTTTTGTGACAGGATTTTCCTTCCCTGAAACCATGCTGGTTGTCGATTATACGCTTGTTTCTTTCCAGGTGTTCCACCACTCTCCTCCTGATGATCTTCTCCATGGCTTTGCATATTATACACGTTAGTGCCCACAGGTCTGTATTTTTAGGGGCTTCGTGTCTGTCTCATTTTTTAAAAAACTGGGACTACATTTGCCATCTTTCATACCTCAGGTAGTTCCCCAGTTTCAATGAATGTGTTGAAGATCTTTGTTAGTGGCACACACAGCATCTCTGCTCCCTCTCTAGGGACCCACGGAGAGATGTTGTTTGGTCCCACCGCCTTTGAGGTATCAAATTCACATAGCAGCTTCTTCACCTCCTCTTCGGTTATGTGTACTTCATCCAGCACTTGTTTGGGGTACCTCCCTGTTCTGATTTCTTGGGGTCCTACCTGCTTCCACTGTAAATACTTCTTTAAATCTCATGTTGAGCTCCTCACATAACTCTTGGTCGTTTCTTGTGAACTCCCCATCATCCTTCCTCAGTTGATTACCTGGTCCTTGACTATTGTTTTCCTCCTGATGTTGCTAACAACAGCTTCGGGTCAGACTTGACTTTTGATGCTATGTCATTTTTGTATTGTCGCGAGCCTCGTTCTTATCTGTGATATATGCTTCTGGCTCTTCAGCTGATCTATTTTCCTGAGTTCTTTGTCTTCTGTACCTTTTCCATTCTCTAGAACACCTAGTTTTTGCCTCCCTGCACCTTGGGTGAACCAAGGCTCGTTCTGGTCTTCCCATTATTTCTGTTTCCCTTGGGAACAAACCTCTCCTCTGCCTCCTTGCATTTTGTTTTTCACATAGTCCATCATTTCTTGTACTGGTTTTCCTGTCAGTTCCCCCTCCCACTGAACGTCTTGCAGAAAGTTCCTCATTGTGTGTGTAGTGTCTGTGTGTGTGTGTGTGTGTGTGTGTGTGTGTGTGTGTGGTGTGTGTGTGTGTGTGTGTGTGTGTGTGTGTGTGTGTGTGTTTTGTGATGTGTGTGTGCGTGTGTTTAATTAATTTAGTTTATATGCACCGACTATTTTAATTCACATATTAGGCCAATTCAAATAGATGTCAGTGTACATACATAAGAAAAGTAGCTTTAACTGCCCGTCTTGCAGTCTTCATGATGTTAACAAACGAATAACTGCTTCTCATGATCTTTAAAATCCACTCAATTAAACGGTCCTAATTTGACCTAAGGTTTACCTGGTCTTCCCGACAGGACCCTGGAGGCCATCCTGAGTCTGACCAATAACCTGAATACTGCAGAAGGATTCCCCAGCGCAACACGACCATTCATCTATCATCAAATAAACGACCAGGGCGGAGAACCAATTTCTGTGAACGACTACTTCGGTATAGGTGAGAAGCAATGCTAGCACCTTTGGTGCATGTGAGAAACCACATTAACACATTTGGTATATTTGAGAATCAACATATCAAATGTATTTAGAATAGGGATTATATTCTCATCGCACTACTAATGTCTTCCAGCCCAGGTTGACACATGTAAACAACCCATCTTATGTGATGGAATACGACTGGGAAATAGCTTTCTTTTCTTCCCTCACTGTAAATATCGAATAAAATAGGACTGCAACACACTGCTGTTGTTCTTATAGTGCAATTTAACTATTAGAACACTGCAGTTATTCTGACGATGTAACTGTGATATAGACTAGGTAACAACGCCCTACATATGCAGACCTGTCGAATTAAATTTAACCCATACGCGGGTGGCTCAGGTCTCACCACGGAGTACCGCTACAGCGAGAAGATTGCTGCGGGCGTGGACGACTTCGCTCTCTTGAACTATGTTTACGACTCCGAGGAGGGGATGGCGCCTCCTTACAAGGCTCTCGTCTTTGTTGACGACCACGACAATCAGCGAGGCTACGGAAGTACAGGAGACGTTCTGACTTACAAGCAGGTCAGATAATGGGGTTCAAGGAGGGTTAGAAGGAATGGTAGTCAGGAAGAAGGGCAGAGAGGAAAAGAAGTGAGTCAGAAAGGTGACAGGAAAGAGGTGGAAGTCAGGAAGATGCGGAGGAGGATGAAACAAGTGGGAGGCAGAGAGGCGGAGTGAGGAAAGAGTGAGAGGAAAACCCATATATTTTGAGTAATTTTGTTATGCCTGAATGTTGCTGACATTTTAAGTTTCCGTATAAATTTGTTTTAATTTGGGAGATACAGGTCATGTCACCCTTCATGTCAACAAGAACGCACATAATGTTCTCATTTTTTTTTCAATTTCTGACAATTTCCTAAATTTTGAAACCAGCCCTAGAACGAGCAAGATTAACTCAATGTGAAAGTAATCTGACATGACGCTTACCCAACAGATTCGGGAATACCAGATGGGTGTAAGTTTTTCTCTGGCGTACGACTACGGCGTCGTGCGTCTCATGAGCAGCTACGATTTTGATGACAATGACCAGGGACCCCCAGACAGCAGCAGCAGCGGCGCCACCGACACCGTCCCCATCAACGCTGATGGCTCCTGCGGTGGTGGCTGGATCTGTGAACACCGCTGGAACTCCATCGTCCAGATGGTCAGTGATGGGAACCGGTGATATACATACATTTGCAGCACAGAAAGGTTTCATTGGACAACGTTTCGCTTAAAGGTTAAGTTTTTTTAAGTCATGACTTAAAAAATTTGCCTCTGGCCAAAACTTTGTCTAATAAAATCTTTCACTACTGTAAGTATCTGCGAATTACTCTGCTTGTTCACATTTGTGTCAAGAAACCATCTTAACATTTGGTCTTCCAGTGACGTGGGGACTCGGGAAGAGACACTTGGGTGAGAGCGTCCATCTGTGAAAGAAGTAATAAGACTAAGGGTTGTTGTGCACTTGTCTAGTAAGTGGCAGTGTGGGGGAAAGAGGAACAATATAATAATGGCATACAATACCAACAAAACTAGCATATCTTCGCAAAAGGCAAACAAAATTAAGTTCAAGCTATGTATTTATAAACTTTAAGACGCACTTCCCCGCTTGCAGCTAAGATCGTCAATTTCTCTGTGTTCGCGGATCCTCAGGTCATGTTCAGGAACGTTGTGGCTGGAACTCAAGTGGAGCTCTGGTACCAGGAGCACGATAACGTAGCCTTCTCACGCGGACAACTGGGATTCTTTGCCATGTCGAAGTCGGGGTCACTTGACACGGTCCTCCAAACAGGTGAGCGCCTCAACACTCGTCCCACTTTACGTTTTCCATTTTTTGCGCATTATCCTATTTTAAAATAAAATGGCGGATTAAGGTTCCAAGTATTCAACGTTTTCCGTTTTTATAACTTTTTGTCATTTATTTTGACAAATAATAAATGAAGCAAACAATAATTTTGAAAAACAATGACTATTTCAAATACTTTCCCTTCCATTGAAATTTTGGAAAGAAATTACATTCTTTGGTTCCCAGCGTTCCACAGTGTCAAGTCTGTAGTCTCCTATGTGGTCTCTCAATCTTGCTAACACGTGTGTACAATGTTTTCTCCTATTCTTGTTGGCAATTGCTTCAGTTTCATCCTTGTTGATCATCGCTTGTAATCTATGTGTAGTGTCCTCTCCCACCACTCAGGGTTGCCGGCTGGGCTCTATTGTGAGCTCATCAGTAGCTGCACTAGGAATGTCACGGTGGACACTGATGGAACGGCTCGCATCACCATCAACGACTACCAGCTGCCTTTCATCGCCTTTTGCGTCGGCTGTGGCACTGTTACCACCCCCAGCCCCGGTAAGTCCCACCACAGCCCCGGTAAGACCCACCAACAGCTCCAGTAAAGTCCACCCCCCAGTTTCAGTGAAGCTTACCCTCCCCCGGTAATATATATAGTGTAGCAGCACCCAGCCCAGGCACTAGAGGCCTGAAGGAAGCACATGGTTATAAGTATGAACTCTTCTCGCTTCGTATTTATGCACTTTAATTATCAGGCTTTGACCTCTGACCTTGTCTCACCTGATGTTGTCATTCAGATCAAACCACAACGGTGGTACCCACAACGCCCATGACGACAGTGCCCACGACTATGACCACGACAACTATACCCACGACGACTACACCCTTAACAACGGAATCCACCACTCCTCCATTCGGCGGAAAGGTGAAGACGGTGATCTTCCTTTACAAGCAAACAAACCCAGGTCAAGATATCTTCATCATCGGAGGCATCGACATCGCTCACCGCCCAGGTCAGCTCCAGGTCACATATACACACTACAGTGTACCACTAGTTAGAAACTGAGACATAATACTCTCAGACTCAACTCCTGCGTTCACATTAAGGTGAGATAAATCACACACACACACACACACACACACACACACACACATACACATACAGAGGGGACAGAGAAACAAGGGGTCACAATTGGAAGCTGAAGACTCAGACGAGTCACAGGGATGTTAGGAAGTATTTCTTCAGTCCTAGAGTCGTCAAGAAATAGAATAGCCTAGCAAGTGATGTAGTGGAAACAGGAACCATACATAGCTGTAAGACGAGGTATGACAAAGCTCAGGAAGCAGAAAGAGAGAGAGAGAGGACCTAGTAGTGATTAGTGAAGAGGCGGGGCCAGGCACTGAGTATCGACCCCTGCAACCACAATTAGGTGAGTATACACACAAACTAGTTATGATCTGAATTATTAATATGAGAAACACAAACAAGAATGATTAGATTATATCAACTAAAGGAAGGTTGCTGACCTTAAGATATTTCATATATATAACATGGAATAATGTATTACAGGGGATCAGTGTAAACAAAATGTATGAAAGTTTTCCATCTGGGTTTCTCTTTCAATTGAGACCTCTGCTTTCAGTGACGTTTAGGTTAGCCTCCATCACGCCTAGGCCTAGGTACCAAGGGGGCACAATGATAACTTCCTCTCACTTTCATTAAGATAATACAGATCAGCTTCAAAACTATTTGTTTCAATTTCCAGAACTTCCAGTACAACTCCATAAGCACGTCTCCCAGACACACGGGCATAAATGGTGGCAGCTGTGGCATGTGTTGATCTAACTGGTGTCTGGTATGCCAGTCATATTGTCAACACATCTCACTGCTGCCGGGAAATTGCAAAAATACCCACTCGAACACCTTCATTACAACCACCTACCAACACTACTTGGTAACCACAACCTATATCTTCTCCGTGCCTTCCACCACCACTCCACCATCACCACACCACCAGCCACCACAATCTCACCCTCGTCTGATATAAGCGAAATGTTTATATAAAGTCTCCTGGCTCGATCCATAATGTTCACACCTTCCTGTAGATATGTACTGTAGTGAGCATATCTATTCATTTACGTGTGTGCATTCAGTATTGATAAATAATGAACAACTCTACCATCACAGGATGCACGTCCGACGCTGAGAGTGACGTATGCGCTCTTGACATCACCGTCAACAGCCTGGGGACGAACGTACACTACGACAGATACAACGCCTGGAGGGCCGGGGATACAAAGCTGGACTGGTATGGTGCCCAGGCTGGTCAGGGTACATACAATGGACAGGTTGCCAGTGGTACCCCTCTTGTATGGACCACGAGCAACTCTGGAGCCCCTGAATACCAAGAGCTCAATACGTGAGTTATCACGAGGGATAATGAGTTATCTGCGTGTGACAGGAATTACTTTTATATACTTTAAATGACGTGATTTACACAGGGTTGAACAACAGGCGAACCTACACTCAGTGGTGAGGTGTGTTTAGTAGTAAACTTGCAATTGCAAGGATGCTGGTTTGATCCCAGTATTCCTTAAATAACTTGTTGCCTTCATGACGTGGTGAGCTTCACATTTGCTTCATCACACACTTGTGTTCCATCACAGGTACGGGGATCACTACTGGATGGTCGACATGATCATGGACTGTGCCCAGACAGATGAGGGTTGGTTCCACTTCAAGGCTTACCTCACCAACGCTGGCTCGGGCTGGGAAGATGACATCAACCAGGTATTTACGCAAATTATATTTGTGGATGTAGAGCAGCTTAACCACTAATCAATCAACGACTCCCTAATCTCACGAGTTACATTTACATCTGAGTGTCTGGTCATTTATTGTATTCTTTTTATATATATATTATAGTTTTTACCTCCAGCTTCTTAACTTAATATGACTCAGCAACTTGATTTCAAGGAAAAAAGTCATATTATATAATATTCACTTTTTTCTATAATTTAAAATTCCCCACTTGTTCGCCCTATTGTTATTTAAAAATATGTTGACCTGATAATATAAGTATACTAAATTCAAAAGTTTATTCTCTTTAAGGATTACAATGCTGAGTTTACAGAAATTTGGTTATTGTTTGGTTTACATGTAGTAAAATTCTGATTACTTTACATAGTTTATTTCAATCACAGAATACATGCACTTAGAGGTTTACGTCTCTTAGTGTGTACACTGAGAATTTACTTTAATCCCTATTTTAGGGAGTAAAGTTTTCTTGACTGGTGGTGAATAAGTGACATGCAGCCTTAATAGTAGACTGGCTTTAAACCCTTTATATCAACCAACCGATGCTTCATTGATTTTTTCCCATTCCTCTTGCGTTTATTTTGACGTCTCTTTCTTTGTTGAATGTTGAGCCAGATGACACTAGATGGTGCTTTCCCTGTGAGTGACCACCTGGTGTGACCCTCTGGCAGTGACCACCTGGTGTGATCTCTGATAGTGAACACCTAGTTTGACCTATGACCTATCTTAGTGAAGGCTTTGCAACATCAGTGACCCCAAGAGCCCCTCACTGACGTCAAGAATCCACCTTTGAGGGGATTCATAACGACCTCTGATCCGACCTTCTGAGCACTTGTTAGAGGTTTAGGATTAGTGTATGACTGTAACTTACCGACAGAGTTCCTTGACTCAAACTAATGTTTACCAGTACTCACCTGATTGTACTCACCTAATTGTGGTTGCAGGGATCGAGACACAGCTCCTGGCCCCGCCTCTTCACTGATCGCTACTAGGTCCTCTCTCTCTCTCTCTCTGCTTCTAGAGCTTTGTCATACCTCGTCTTAAAGCTATGTATGGTTCCTGCCTCCACTACATCACTTGTTAGGCTATTCCACATCCTGACGACTCTATGACTGAAGAAATACTTTCTAAAATCCCTATGACTCGTCTGAGTCTTCGGCTTCCAATTGTGACCCCTTGTTTCTGTGCCCCCTCTCTGGAACAACCTGTCTCTGTCTACCTTATCTATTCCACGCAGTATTTTGTATGTCGTTATCATGTCTCCCCTGACCCGCCTGTCCTTCAATGTCGTCAGTCCGATTTCCCTCAACCTTTCTTCGTAGTACATTACCCTGAGCTCCTGAACTAGCCTTGTTGCAAACCTTTGCAAACCTTTGGCCCGGTGGTCTGGTGGCTAAAGCTCCCGCTTCACACACGGAGGGCCCGGGTTCGATTCCCGGCGGGTGGAAATTCCGACACGTTTCCTTACACCTATTGTCCTGTTCACCTAGCAGCAAATAGGTACCTGGGTGTTAGTCGACTGGTGTGGGTCGCATCCTGGGGGACAAGATTAAGGACCCCAATGGAAATAAGTTAGACAGTCCTCGATGACGAACTGACTTTCTTGGGTTATCCTGGGTGGCTAACCCTCCGGGGTTAAAAATCCGAACGAAATCTTATCTTATCTTATCTCTAATGTCTTTACGTGTTTGACCAGGTCTGGGTTCCAAACTGGTGCTGCATACTCCAGTATGGGCCTGACGTACACAGTGTATAAAGTCTTGAACGATTCCTTACTAAGGTATCGGAACGCTATTCTCAGGTTTGCCAACCGCCCGTATGCTGCAGCAGTTATCTGGTTGATGTGTGCCTCCGGAGACATGCTCGGTGTTATGGTCACCCCAAGATCTTTCTCCTTGAGCGAGGTTTGCAGTCCTTGGCCACTTAGTCTATACTCTGTCTGCGGTCTTCTTTGCTCTTCTCCGATATTCATGACTTTGCATTTGGCAGTTTTGAATTCAAGAAGCCAGTTGCTGGACCAGGTGTCCAGCCTGTCCAGGTCTCTTTGAAGTCCTGCCTGATCCTCATCTGATTTAATTCTCCTCATTAACTTCACATCATCTGCAAACAGGGACACTTCTGAGTCTATCCCTTCCGTCATGTTGTTCACATATACCAGAAACAGCACTGGTCCTAGGACCAACCCCTGTGGGACCCCGCTCGTCACAGGTGCCCACTGTGATACCTCATATGACATGTTGTGTAAATGATTATTGTGGTGGTGGTGGTGCTGGTAGTGGCGGTGCTAGTAGTAGTAGTGGTAGTAGTGGCAGTAGTAGTGGTAGAATAGTAGTAGTAGTAGTAGTAGAATATGAGTAGTAGTAATAGTAGTATTGTAACACTTACAAAACACTGACCCTCATGTGTGTCATCAAGAATGACCTCTCTTCAACTAGTTCACTTTTTTCCTGGTGTTCTGGACAGGTGTCACCGTGCTCAGGTGATGTGGGTGGCTCCGAGCCCTACGCTACCGTCTACCACACTGCTCGATGTGGCTACCTCAACGTCTTCCAGTTCTCTGGCTCATCGTGTATGGTCAACGACCTGCCCTGAGGCGTTCAAGGCTCCGGAAGTGGCGACCTGGCCCAAGCCAGGTCGTCACATTGGATGCTTTAAGGACCCTTCATGGGTAGAAACCCGGCCTGGTTTTTGGTCTCGTTCAAGCTTACACGAAAATGCGCTGCGTTTTTGATTAAAAATTAATGTGATGTTCACTGGGCTAATAAATTAAAAGATCGACATCTTGCTTATCTTCAAAAAAATCAATTCCCTGGGTTTTGCACGTGATGTGGCTCCCCCTGCTGGTTATTGTAAAGAGAGGCTCTAAAACCTGTATGTCATCGCACGTAAAGTTGTCTGTTTACCCCTGGGGTGGAGGTACGCTGGTGGTGGAGTGTAATTCTGTGGGATGGGGTTACTATTGTGGGGTCGAGTGTACTACAGCCTTTTAAATGGGTGTTTTACAGCTTAGGTGCAGTGTATACAGCTTAAGTGGAGTGTAACAAGCTTAAGGGAGTGTAAAGCTTAAGGGAGTGTACTACGCTTAAGTGAAAGGGCTACAGCTTAGGTGAGTGTATACGCTTGTGAAGAGTACTACAGCTTAGGGAGTGTATGAGCTTTGGGTTGCAGTGTTTTCAGCTTAAGTGGAGTGTATAAGCTTAAGGGATGTATACAGCTTGGTGCATGTTTACAGCTTAAAATAGAGTGTACTACAGCTTAAGTGAAAAGGGATACGTTAAGTGGGGTTGTCTCAGTTTTAAATGGAAAGTACTAAGCTTAAGTGGAGTGTATACAGGTAGGTGGATGTACACTGTGTGGGAAAAGTGTACTACTGTTGGGTAAAGTGTAACTGTGTGGGTTAAGGTATATGTGTGGGAAGTGTACTACTGTGTGGGTAAAATGTCTACTGTGTGGGTGAAGTGTAACTGTGTGGGTAAGTGTACTTGTGTGGGTGGGTGTACTACTGTGTGGGTGGGTGTCTTGTGTGGGTGGGTGTAAAACCGTGTAGGTGGGTGTATACGTGTGGTGGAGTGTACTACAGTGGGTGGGGTACTACAGTTGGTGGAGTGTTTTAAAAGTGGGTGGGGAGTGTATACAGTATGGTGGAGTGTGCTACAGTTACGTGGAGTGTGCTACAGTTAGGTGGGGTGTTTTTTGGTGTAGGTGGAGTGTACTACAGTGTGGTGGAGTGTTTTTACAGTGTAGGGGGTGTAAACCGTGTAGGTGGGCGTACTACAGTGAGGTGGAGTGTATACAGTGTTGGTGGAGTGTTTTTTTTACAGGTAGGTGGGTGTATAAGTGTGGTGGAGTGTATACAGTGTAGGTGGGGGTGTATACAGTGTGGTGGAGCGTACTACAGTGTAGTGGGGGTACTCAGTGTGGTGGAGTGTCTACAGTGACGTGGGTGTACTACAGTGTAGGTGGAGTGTACTACAGTGTAGGTGGAGTGTACTACAGTGTAGGTGGAGTGTACTACAGTGTAGGTGGAGTGTACTACAGTGTAGGTGGAGTGTACTACAGTAAAGGGGGAGTGTGTACAGGGCGTGGAGTGTGTACTGTGGTGGAGAGTACTACAGTGTAGGTGGAGTGTACTACAGTGTAGGTGGAGTGTACTACAGTGTAGGTGGAGTGTACTACAGTGTAGGTGGAGTGTACTACAGTGTAGGTGGAGTGTACTACAGTGTAGGTGGAGTGTACTACAGTGTAGGTGGAGTGTACTACAGTGTAGGTGGAGTGTTTTACAGTGTAGGGGGGTGCCTCAGTGTTGGTGGAGCGTACTACAGTGTAGGTGGGAGTTCTACAGTGTGGTGGAGTTACTAAGTGTCGTGGAGTGTACTCAGTTTGGTGGAGTGATACAGTGTGTGGAGTTTTCTACAGTGTGGTGGAGTGTACTACAGGTAGGTGGGGTGTCTACAGTGTAGGTGGAGTGTATTCGTGTAGGTGGGTGTACTCAGTGTAGGTGGAGTGTACAAGTGTAGGGGGGTGTTTACAGTGTAGGTGGGGAGTGAACAGTTTTTAGGTGGAGTATCTACAGTGTGGGGAGTGTACTACGTGTAGGTGGAGCGTATACGAGTGGTGGGTGTACTACGGAGGTGGGGTGTATACAGTGTACGTGGAGTGTATACGTGTATGTGGGTGTACTACAGTGTTTGGGGAGGTACTACATTGTAGGTGGAGTGTCTACGGTAGGTGGGTGTACTACAGTGTGGTGGGGGTACTACAGTGTAGGTTGGTGTATACAGTTGGTGGGTGTACTACAGCTAGGTGGGTGTAAACAGTGTAGGTGGAGTGTATACGTGTGGTGGAGGTACTAAGTGTAGGTGGAGTGTCTACAGGTAGGTGGAGTGCACTAAGTGTGGTGGATGCACTCAGTGTGGTGGAGTGACTACAGTGTAGGTGGAGTGTTTTCTACAGTGTTGTGGGAGCCTACAGTGTAGGTGGAGTGCATACAGTGTAGGGGAGTTATACAGGTAGGGGAGTGTACTAATGTGGGTGGGGTGTAACCCGTGTGGTGGAGTGTACTACGTGTGGTGGAGGTACTACAGGTAGGTGGAGTGTCTACATGTAGGGGGAGTGCATACAGTGTAGGTGGAGTGTTTTACGTGTAGGTGGAGTGCACTACAGTGTAGGGTGGGTTTTATACAGTGTAGGTGGGGGGTGTATACGGTAGGGGGGTGCCTAAGTGTAGGTGGAGTGATCGTGTAGGTGGAGTGCATACAGTGTAGGTGGAGTGTTTTACAGTGTAGGTGGGGGTGCACTAGTGTAGGTGGGTGTTTTACAGTGTAGGTGGAGTGTAACAGGTAGGTGGGTTATACAGTGTGGTGGAGTGTACTACAGTGTAGGTGGAGTGTATCAGTGTAGGTGGAGTGCCCTACAGTGTGGGGGATGTCTACGTGTGGTGGAGTGTATACGTGTAGGTGAGTGACTACGTGTAGGTGGAGTGGCTACAGTGTGGTGGGTGTTACGTATAGGTGGAGTGGGCTACGTGTACGTGGGTGGCTACAGTGTAGGTGGGTTTCTACAGTGTAGGTGGAGTGTACTACAGTGTAGGTGGAGTGTACTACAGTGTAGGTGGAGTGTACTACAGTGTAGGTGGAGTGTACTACAGTGTAGGGGGAATGTATACGGTAGGGGGAGTATACACAGTGTGGTGGGTGTATACAGTGTGGGGAATGTACTACGTGTAGGTGGAGGCACTACGTGTAGGGGATGTAACAGGTGGTGAGTGTCTAATGTAGGTGGAAGTATTCGTGTGGTGGAGTGTATACAGTGTAGGTGGGTTTACTACGGTAGGTGGAGGATACAGTGTGGTGGAGTGACTACAGTGTAGGTGGAGTGTACTACGTGTAGGTGGAGGTATACAGTGTAGGGGGAGTGCACTAAAGTGTAGGGTGGAGTGTTTTCTCAGTGTAGGGGGAGTGTACTACAGTGTAGGGGAGTGTATACAGTGTAGGGGGGAGTGTACTTCGTGTAGGTGGAGCTACTACAGTGTGGTGGGGTGTACTAAGTTGGTGAGTGTACTACAGTGTAGGTGGAGTGTACTACAGTGTAGGTGGAGTGTACTACAGTGTAGGTGGAGTGTACTACAGTGTAGGTGGAGTGCACTACAGTGTAGGTGGAGTGTACTACAGTGTAGGTGGAGTGTACTACAGTGTAGGTGGAGTGTAATACAGTGTAGGTGGAGTGTACTACAGTGAGGGGAGTGTGTAAGTGAGGTGGGGTGTCTACAACTAAAACATCACCAAGAAAAACAACATTAAAACAAACAAAATTGAGCAAAAAATCCTGGATTTTTCTCGCCTTTTTTATGTTAAAAAAAAGGGTTTTAGCTTGTTGGAGTCTGTCGGGGGGACAGTAGTGTACACACACACTGCGTGGGCAGAAGTAGTGTACACACACTGTCGTGGGAGACGTAGTGTACACAACCCCCTGTCGTGGGCAGACGTAGTGTCACACAATGTCGTGGGCAGACAGTAGTGTACCACCAAAATGCGTGGGCAGAAGTAGTGTACACACACATGTGTGGGGACAGTAGTGTACCCACACTGTCGTGGGGGACGTTGTACACACAACTGTCGTGGGCAGGCAGTAGTGTACAACGCCTGTCGTGGGGACGGTGTGTACACACGCCCCTGTCGTGGGACAGTAGTGTAACAACACTGTCGTGGGCAGCAGTAGTGTAAACCCCACTGTGTGGGCGAGGTGTGTACACACGCACTGTCTGGCAGGACATAGTGTTCACGCACATGTGTGGGCAGACAGTAGTGTACAAAAACCACTGTCGTGGGCAGCGTAGTGTACCGCGCACTGTCGGGGCAGCAGTAGTGTACCGCGCCTGTCGTGAGCAGGGGCAGTAGTGTCACGCCACGTCGGGGCAAGGCAGTTGTGTACACGCGCACTGGTGGGCGACAGAGTGTACACGCACACTGTGTGGGCGACAGTAGTGTACACGGCCTGTCGTGGGCAGACGTAGTGTACACGCACCTGTCGTGGGCAGACGTAGTGTACCCGCGCATGTCGTGGGAGCCCAGTTGTGTACACACACATGTCGTGGGCAGCAGTGTGTCAGCGCATGTCGTGGGCAGACAGTGGTACACGCCCCATGTGGGGGAGACAGTAGTGTACACGCACACTGTCGTGGGTGACAGTAGGTACACGCCACTTCGTGGGCGGGACATTTGTGTAACCACACTGTCTGGGCGACAGTAGTGTACACGCGCATGTCGTGGGCGACATTTAGTGTACACAACACTGTCGTGGGCAGACAGTGTGTACCGCGCCTGTCGTGGGCGACGTAGTGTCCGCGCACTGTCGTGGGCGACAGTAGTGTACACGCACATGTCGTGGGCGGGACAGTAGTTTTACACGCGCCTGTCGTGGGAGACGTAGTTACACGCAACTGTCGTGGGCGACAGTGTGTAAACCCGCGCACTGTGTGGGCGACGTAGTGTACACGCACACTTTGGGCGAAGTAGTGTACCGCGCACTGTCGTGGGCGACATTTGTGTACCGCACACGTCGTGGGCAGCGTAGTGTCACGCGCACTGTCGGGGGAGACAGTGTGTACACCACACTGTGTGGGGAAGTAGTTAAAAGCGACTGTCGGGGGCAGCAGAGTTTTCACGGCACTGTCGGGGG